AAAAAGAAAAAAAAAACCGGGCTCGGTGGCTCAGCCTGTAATCCCGCGCCTTTGGGAGGCTGAGGTGAGTGGATTGCCTGAGCCTGCGGGTTCGAGACCCGCCTGGGCAACTTGGTGAGACCTCATCTCTACAATAAATAAAAAATGAGCCGGGTGTGGTAGCGTGCGCCTGTAGTTCCAGCTACTTGGAAGGCTGAGGCGGAAGGATCGCAGGAGCCCAGGAGGTCGAGGCTGCGGTGGCTGGGAGCGGCCACTGCGCTCCAGTCTGGGCGACAGAGTGAGACTCCAACTCAAAAGAAAAAAAAAAAGAAACAGGAGGTTGGAATACTTGGAATCCTCACATGAACTGAAGACTGAGATTTTGTTTCTGAACGCATTGTTGCTTCCTGTCATGTCATATCCCACACAAAGTAAAAAGAGGACAGGTGCTTATATTATTTTGGATATTTGAGCTCTGGAGAAGACAAAGTAGTTTCTATGCAGTTAAGGTTTACATTTGCCCCAGTGAGTCTTGAGGACTGAGATTTATATCAGAAGATGAGTTCTAATTTTGGTTTTCCTTTTCTATAACCTATCTGTGTGTGATCTCTTTTGAATGTCAGTCATTATTGACATTTTTTTTTTTTTTGAGTCGGAGTCTTACTCTGTCATCCAGGCTGGCGTGCAGTGGCATGCTCATGGCCACCGCAGCCTCTACCTGCTGGGCTCAGGTGACCCTTCTACCTCAGTCTTTCAAGTAGCTGGAACTACAAGTGTGCCACCATGCCTGGCTAATTTTTTTTATTTACTGTAGAGATGAGGTCTTGACATGTTGCTCAGGCTGGTCTCGAACTCCTGAGCTCAGGCAATCCTTTCACCTCCGTCTCCCAAAGTGCTGGGTTTACAGGTGTGAGTCACTGCGCTTGGCCTCATTATTGACATCTGAATATTAACTTTCTACAGTCCTAAAAGTTTGGGCCTAATCCGGCCTTTAACATGAAAGACTAAAGGACTGACAAGATAGCAGGTGTGCAGATCTTAGACCTTTCTGGAAGTGTCATCCAAAGTCCAAGCCCAATGTATCTGAATAGGATACTTGCTTTATTTAAGGATGGCCTGGTTAACTTTCTGAGTTTTCTGGAGCCTTGGTGTTTGCTTTAGTATCTTAAATTTATTATTAAAAACAATATATATACTTAAAATTAAATAAAAATTTAAATAATGAAAATAGTACAGAGTACAGATACAGTCTCTGTACAGTCTCTGTACAGTCTCTGTAATAATAGTACAGAGTACAGATACAGTCTCTGTACAGTCTCTGTAATAATGAAAATAGTACAGAGTACAGTCTCTGTCTTCCTTCCTCCACTGTCAACCCATTCTCCAAAGATAACCACTGTTTGGAATCTATTCTTGTAGATTTCCTTCTATGTGAAAACAGTTGTGTGTGCATGTATAGATACTATGTGTGTGTGTATATATGTATTTAATATATATCATATTCTATAATTTGCCTTTTCTCCTACCTAATACAGTTGACATTTCTATGACTATAATACAGATGTAGCTCATTCTTATTAATGGTTCCATTGAAATCCATTTTATGGATATATCATCTTTATTAATTAACATTTCTGAATTTTTTTCATTCCTTCTTTCCTTCTCTTTTTGCTATTATAATCTGAATTTTGACATTATTTTTTGAAGTAATGCTTTTGGAATCTCTACTTGGCAATTATCTGGCACGTTAAGTACTGTAAATTCTGAAATAGTATTTGGTAAAAGTATACAGTAATTTTAAGGAACAAATAAAATTATAAAAATAATAGAACAATAAGGAAAACATAACAATACAAGGAATAATAATATAACAGTAATACAAATAATTTATAAATTCACATTTTTTTCTGGGTATGTATGTAGGCATCCGTAAGCAAATGCCATTAGCAACTTACAAGTCTCTTTAAAATTATTACTTTTGATGTTGGTTATTTTGGATTTCTACTAGCCAGAAGGTGACTTTTCTCTTCCTATCTACCATTTTATTTTCAGCTGCCAAGAGAATGGAGTCATTGTGTCATGGAAAAGAACTATTTTCCCAATTAGACAGTAAAACATTCTCAGAAGCTTTGCCGGTAGGTGCAGTGGTATGCTGGTCAATGTTTAACAACTCTCTCCCAACCCCCAAAAGAAAGAAAAAGTAAGACAGAGACAGAGACAGGAGAACAGAACAGAGAGTCTTCCCTAACTAAAACTTTGTGCCCATTAAACAATAACCCCCTGCTTCTTCCTTTCCCAGTCTCTGGCAAACACCATTCTTTCCCTCTCTATAAATGTGACTATTCTAGGTACTTCATATAAGTGGAATCAGTGTTTGTTCTTTTGTGACTAGCTTATTTCATTTGGCATACTTCACATTTCAACCAAGTTGTAGCTTATCTCAGAATTTGCTTCCTTTTTAAAGGCTGAATAATATTCCATTGTGCATATGTACACTAAATTCTCACTTAACGTCATTGATAAGTTCTTGGAAAATGACTTTAAATGATTAAGGACTATATAACAAGCCAATTTTACTGTAGGCTGACTGATAGAAACACAAATTACGTCCCTACAGCATACAGTATGTTGTTTTACTTAAAGTCGATTTCAAGAAACTACTGATGTTGAGGACTTACATTTTGTTTATCCATTCACCCATCGATGGACTCTTGGGTTGCTTTTACCTTTTGGCTATTTTTAATTATGTGGTTATGGGCCAAGCACGGTGGCTCACGCCTGTAATCCCAGCACTTTGGGAGGCAGAGATGAGAGGATTACCTGAGCTCAGGGGTTTGAGACCAGCCCGAGCAACATGGCAAGACCTTGTCTTTTTATAATAAATCAAAACATTAGCTGGATGTGGTGGCGCATGCCTGTGGTTCCAGCTACTTCCAGAAGGAAGCCTAGCAGGTTGAGGCTACAGTAGCCGTGAGTATGCCACAGCACTCCAGCCTGGACAACAGAGTGAGACTCCTACTAAATAATAATAATAATAGTAATGATGCAGCTGTGAACATGGGATCCTGCTTTCAATTTTTTTGGGTAGCTGCCCACAGTGGAAATGCTGGGTCACGTGGTCCTTCCTTTTTCAATCTTTTGAGGAACCTGTATGTTGTTTTCCACAGCAGCTGCACCATTTTACACACTGTGCACAAGGATTCCCTTTCTTCACATCTTCACCAACACTTGTTATTTTGTATTTTTAAAAATAGTAATTGCCCTAATAGAAGGGAGGCAGTATGGTTTTGATTTGCATTTCCCTCTTGACTAGTGATGTTGAGTGTCTTTTCATGTCTTGTTGAACATTTGCATATCTTCTTCGGAGAAATGTCTATTCATGTCCTTTGCTCATTTTCTAATTGGGTTTTTGTGAAAGTTTCATTTTTTATTCTTAAAAAAGTTCTTTCATGGCTTCTTTACTACTGTCACAGTTTCATGTTTTGACAGTTGCAATTTTTATATTTGGAAATAATTTCAATCTTATAGAGAAGTTGCAAGAATGTGAATAAAACAAAGAACACCTACACACTATTGGCCCAGATTCCCCTGCCTGCTGTAGTCTCACCCCATCACAGCTCACTGCAGCCTTCAACTCTTGGGCTCAAGTGATCCTCTTACCTCAACCTCCTAAGTAACTAGGACTACCATGCCAGGCTAACTGTTTTTTTGGGTAAAGATGGGGTCTCGCTATGTTGCTCAGGCTAGTCTTGAACTCCTGGGCTCAAGCAGTCTTCCTGCCTTAGCCTCCCAAAGTTTTACAGGTGTGAGCCATCACTCCGGGTCCTTTTTTTCTGAACGTCTTGAGAGGAAGTTGCATACATCATGGCCCTTTACTACTAAATACTTCTGTGTGTATTTCCTAAGAGTAAGGATATTCTCTTATAGAACTATAGTACAATTACCAATGCCAATAAAGCAAAATTAATAAAGTACTTTTATCAAATCGACTGTCCATATTCCAATTTTGCCTGTTCGATCTAATAATGTCCTTGACAGCTTCTCCCCCTCCCAGACAAAGCTCAATCTAGGATCATATATAAATAGAACACAATATTATATTTAGTTGTCAGGTCCCATTCTCATTAGTTTCCTTTAATCTTGAATGTTTATACAACTTTTATGACATTTTATTTCCTCTTTTATGACATTGAGATTTCTGAAGAAAGAAGTCACTCCTCTGACCTTTTATTAACAAGTTATAATTTCCTCTTTTTTTTTTTAAGTGACAGGGTCCCTCTCTGTTGCCCAGATTAGAGTGCACTGGTATGATCATAGCTCACTGTAGCCTCAGACTTCTGGACTCAAGTGATCCTTCTGCTTCAGCCTCCCAAGTAGCTGGGGCTACAGGCACATGCTATCATGACCAGCTAATTTTTTACTTTTTTTGTAGAGACAAAGTCTCACTACATTGCTTAGGATAGTCTTGAATTCCTGAGCTTAAGTGATACTCTCTCCTCAGCCTCCCAAAGTGCTGGGATAACGGGCATGAGTCACCACACCCAACCCAATTTTCCTCATTTTTGATATGTGTGGTGTTTCCTCATTTCTAGATTCAAGTTATACACCCTGGCCAGAATATCACAGAAGTGATATTGTGATATTCCACACCCTTTGGCTGGAGGCAATGCTATTGTGCTTTCAGTCATGCATACCCTTTAGGTTATTTTCTGGAGAAGGGAATTTTCTTATTTTATCCATTGAAGCCACTTCTTTTTTGCTTGGATCAAAAATGTATCATGATTTCAAGAGGTAATTTTAGCTGCACAGAGGCTCCACTAAAGCTAAGTCGGTTCATTTGTAATTGTATGTTGTTTACAGTAGCCTACAAAAATAATTGCACAGATTTTTAAATTCCTACTGTAATTGTATACACATGTGTGTGTGTGTGTATACATACACATATACATGCGTATATATACATGTATATATACATACATTTGTTTGAGATGGGGTCTCACTATGTTGCCCAGGCTGAGCTCAAACTCCTGGACTCAAGTGATTCTCCAGTCTCAATCTCCTGAGTAGCTGGGACTACAGGCACATGCTACCACCAGTTTATATATTATTTTTATATTCAGAAATAAAGTTACAAAGGAGACTTCTCTGTTTTTGGAGGAATCAGATCACTTCAGTATTTGATATTTTCGTTGTCTTATTAAACCTTACCTATGCTTTCTTCATGTTGCTGATCCCCAAATGAAAGAAGCCTTTGCATAAACTCAGGGTTTAGCAATATGAAAATACATATTCTGTTTTTTAACTCTGCTAATTGAGATTCTGCAATCAAATCAGGTGAAGTCTGAATCTCAGTCAGGACTCAGCATTCCTCCTTGGAATGAATTGGCTAATTCCCAGCCAGGGCCAGGATCTAGAGAACTCTGCCTTTGGAACTGGAAGGGGCATCCTGAAAGAAGGAAGTGACTGGTCTTTAGTGAAAATGAGATCTAACCCTTGTCCTGGGTTGTAGGACTTAAAAAGAATCTTTGGAATTTTATTCAGATTACAATTTAGTAGCAGAACTGAGTGCAGAGTGGTCAGAATCACCAATCTTTCAATATGTGGCTTTAGAAACACTGTGTTATAGACCAGGCACGGTGGCTTGCCCTTGTAGTCCCTGCACTTTGGGAGGCCCAGGAGAGAGAATGTCTTGAGCTCAGGAGTCCGAGACCAGCCTGGAAAACATAGCAAGACCTCATCTCTACAAAAAATAAAAAAAAAATCAGCTAGGCGTGGTGGTGTGTGCTTGTAGCCCTAGTTACTTAGGAGCCTGAGGCATAGGGTCACCTGAGCCAAGGAGGTTGAGGTTACAGTGAGTCCTGATCGCACCACTGCACTTCAGCCTAGGCAACAGAGTAAGACACTGGCAAGAAAGAAAGAAAGAAAGAAAGAAAGAAAGAAAGAAGGAAGGAAGGAAGGAAGGAAGGAAGGAAGGAAGGAAGGAAGGAAGGAAGGAAGGAAGGAAGGAAGGAAGGAAGGAAGGAAGGAAGAAAGAAAGAAAGAAAGAAAGAAATACTGTGGCATAAATATTCCAGGGTTTTAGAGTAAAGTATAAAACATGATTTTAAAAACTGGCATTAAGAGATACACCCTTCTCTTCCTAAATACTCCCTTGGAGTGGTCGGTTGAACCCCTACAATGAGAATCTGACTAAGTGGTTCTGTCTCTTCTTCAAGGTGGTAGATGTGTACAGCATGAATGGGAAACACAGAGGCCACTGTGTCATTGTCAACAACCACAGCTTTACCTCTATGAACAAAAGAGAAGGAACCCATAAAGATGCTGGTAAGAAAGTCTAGAATCATTTTATCAAGTGCAAATTGGAGAACTTAGAATTATTTTTTTGTTTTCACGTTTTCTTTCTGTGACTTCCATTTTTCATATAAATGTAAGGATGATATCATAAATGTTTCTGAACCTTTTGTGTATCCTGGGCTGTCACCATCTGCTAAAGAGTGACAAGATTCCCTTACTACTTACAACTTTGTGGTTTGAGGGAGAGTTAGTGTGAGAAAACTGGGTCTGAGCTCTGGCTCACCACTAGCTAGGTCTGTGACCAAGAGGGAGTCATGAAGGCCGGGCTTGGTGACTCAGCCTGTAATCCCAGCATTTTGGGAGGCCAAGGTGAGTGGATTGCCTGAGCCCGTGGGTTCAAGACCAGTCTGGGCAACTTGGTGAGACCTCGTCTCTACAATAAATCAAAAAGTAGCCGGTCATGGTAGTGCATGCCTGTAGTTCTGGCTTCTTGGAAGGCTGAGGCGGAAGGATCACCGTAGCCCAGCAGGGTGAGGCTGCGGTGGCCGGGAGCGTGCCAGAGTGAGATTCCACTGGGCGCCAGAGTGAGATTCCAACTCAAAAAAAAAAAGGGAGGGGGTGTCATGAGACCTCAACTTCCTCATCTGTGAGACAGGATGAGACTCTGGGCACTGCTGAGTCCTAGGACTGTTGTGACAATGCTGGATACTACAAGAAGGGCATGTTCATGGCCAGCCTCAGTGGCTCATGCCTGTTACCCCAACACTTTGGGAGGCCAAGGTGGGAGGATTGCTTGAGCTTACCAGCCTGGGTAACACAGTGAGACTTTGTCTCTACAAAAATATTTTTTAAATAATTAAAAACAAAAGAAGGCATGTTCATTGAAAGATTTTATTGTTTTGAAAGTAAAACTTATCCAAAGTGTTGGACTATTTGCTGTGCAATTTTTATGACGGCTAGCATTGCTTCAGTTCTTCGTTTTATTTTGTTTTGCCTCATTTTCCTATTTCCCTTTTCCCTCCTTTCTTCACAGACAGCCTGAGCCATGTGTTTCAGTGGCTGGGGTTCACCGTAAGCAAACATGACAACCTGACTAAAGCTTGCCTGGAGAAGGTTCTAGAGAAGTATAAGAGTCACCCGGACCACGCTGGTGCAGACTGCTTCGTGTTCTGTGTGCTGACCCATGGGAACCTCGGGACGGTCTACTCTACAGATGAGGCCCCCATCCCCATTCGGGAGATCATGTCATATTTCACAGCCCAGCAATGCCCCGGATTGGCTAAAAAACCGAAACTCTTTTTTATCCAGGCCTGTCAAGGTAGTGAGATACAACCATATGTGTCCATTGAAGCAGATGCCGTGAACCCTGAGAACACAGAACAGTGTTCTATTGGGGACAGTATTCCCACTGAGGCAGATTTCTTGCTTGGTCTGGCCACTGTCCCAGGCTACAAGTCCTTTCGGCACAAGAAGGAAGGCAGCTGGTACATTCAGTCTCTGTGTAGTCATCTGAAGAAGTTGGTGCCAAGGTGAGAGTTCTGAGTTGTTGTATCCACCTGTCTGTTCATCTGTCCATCCACTTATCTGTCACCTTCCTGCTTATCTATCCATCCATCCACCCACTCACTCACCCATCCATCCACTTATGTCCATTCACTCGTCCACCCACC